AGATACCGAATCAAGCCGAGTTTCTCGACTTGACGGTCGAACTTTCTGCCTCTGAGCAGAAAGGAACCCGGACGAGGTTCCGCCGAAGGGTAGAATCTCGTTCGGGGAAAATGACCAACACGATCTCGTTTATACGGGTTATACGGGCATTTTTTGGCCGAGCCTACGGGCTCGGGAAACCCACGATAAACTCGGCCTTGTGCCACATGCAACCCTCGTGGGGGGTGGCTAGATACCGAATTTAGCCGAGCTTATCGGCTTGACGGTCGAACTCTCTGCCTCTGAGCAGAGAGGAACCCGGACGAGGCTCCGCCGAAGGGCAGAGTCTCGTTCGGGGAGGTTGATCAACCCAATCCCGTTTATACGGGTTCTACGGGTTCTACGGGCATTTTTTAGCCGAGCCTACGGGCTCGGGAAACCCACGTTAAACTCGGCCTTGTGCCACATGCAACCCTCGTGTGGGTGTGGCTAGATACCGAATCGAGTCGAGCCGATAGTGGTTCACTCCAAACCAGACTGAGGGTCATACTAACACCTTCCACATCTTGTATTATTATTTCGTGTAATATACCTTCGTTATTTCTACTCTTGTGTTCGTGTTGTTCTTCCTTGGTCCTAACCTGGACCATAACAAATATACATTCTAATATCTTTCTGGAATTTATTATCGCATCTGGATTCATCCATCAACCCCGTAGGGAGCACGTTCTGGCTATTCCATCAACTATTTTCTGATATAAACGATGAAATGTGTCTACCTTGGATTATTATTTTTTTTTATCGCGGATTTTTTTAAGGGAAGTAGATTTCTTCTGCACAAATGTTAAAATTTTAGTGTTCAGGAAAACGTCGACTCGGGAGTTTGTGCCACAAATTAGCAGTTCTCGAAAACATCTGATTGGAACTTCTTCCTTAAAAGTGGAATACGGTAGAAATGTGGGAGATTCGAGTCCTTGGACATAGCATGGGGAATTCTTGCCATAAATGACTGAACTGGTGGAAATAACGAGTGAAGCACGTCTGGATATTTGCCAGGGAAATAATGATAGCGTTCCCGTGGACTTGTGACTTTGGGTTTGAGGGGAAAACGGTTGTAGGGTGGAAAACTAAATAATCCGCCAGATGGCCGCGTAAACGATATTGAACTCTGCCAAAACTAGAGACTGAGTATTGGCCAGCTGCAGCATAAATATGGCAGCAATACTTCATTTTTGGTTTCATATGACTTTTATTAAAAAAAAAAAAGAAGCATGGTCGGTATTTTCTGGAGCGGTATAAAGAGCAGACCATTTTTAGTTATGGATCCTACAACGGATTTCACTAGACTGACCCTGAGTCCTAATACATGTTCAAAAAAGAATCCTCATTGAGTGTACAAACGTTCATTGTGACGAGAGAAATTTTGAGCTCCGATCAGTGCCGATGAAATTTTACTAGTTTGATTTTGGATGTAAAAACCAGTTTATTTCTCCGATCAGATCTTAGAGCTTGATCAGGAGAGAGATCAGCTATAAGGCACCGAACATGCGAACTCCAAGACCAGTGTTTCCCGTAACCTAGGGTGCCACAAGATGTCGCTATGGCTTTTACTAAAAACAGTAATAAATAAGCTAATGCATTTTTTTTTTTTTTGTATTTTTTCTTTAATTTTATATTCGTGATTTTACTATACACGTACGACATGTTGTTGGAAAATCGTTTTTATTCTAGATTGAAGGAGGCAACTGTAACAGCTCTTTGAACACAAGCTACTAAACGCTGCATGCCACAGCTGTGCGTTCGGGACGTTGTAAGCTCGGTATGCAATAAAGTTTTGTGTTGACAAAGATGAGCATCAAAACTGTTCTTCACCTTTAAAGACCATGACTTTTAGTTGTTCGTTTTGAAGACATTGAGAAGAAGAAGGAGCCTGGACATGGCCACTTCCATGAAGCCTTCACGAAGTGGCTAGAGCGTTACAAGAAATGTCTTGAAGCCAACAAACTATACTTTCAAGGAGATTATTTTTGTACTTCTTTGAAATTAGTAAATGTCTCTCCTGAAAAAGTCTCAAAACTTTTGGAATGCACATCGTATATATAAATTATGCCACAATTTTGGCATAAAAATGCTACTCTAATTAAAAGATGAAAAATGTTTAGAAAATGCTTTAATCGCTAGTTCAACCGCCATTCTTGGTAGATCTTGTTATCTCAACGTGGGATATTTAATAAAAAAATGATGGAAACAAGAAACATAAAAAAAAAGAATCTGAATGAAATTGGTAAGATTATATATCCAAACCATATAAAAAACATTTTTTTTCCAAATTTTCAATTCGCAACGTCTCTCGTTCGTGCGCATGTGCAGTCGCATCGGCGTAAACAAACCTAGTCCGACGAAGTCCAAAGTAACGAAACGCATTACTCGAACCCCCATATATATATGTGTGTGTGTGTGTGGTGGACTCTCCCGTCGTATTCGACGTATGAGGGTCAAGCAGATCAATTCCTCGGAACCGACGGCCCAGACACCAGCACATATGATTTGATTATAGTGGTGAAGGATTTTTGAAGGACCCAACTTTTTAAAGGGCCGAATACAGAAACCTGGTGCACAGCGTGCCGCAAGGTCCCCAAACGACCCCCCGCAGGTTTTCAATTCAGAGTTGTCTTTCTCCTAGACTAGTTGCCATCCAAAGCGATAGAACACAGTCTGTCCTGCTATTTACCCATAGCTGTAGGAGAAGAGGATTAATACCTTTCCCAAGGGTATTAGCACATAATTGAATATATATACATTCCTCGAGCTTCCTATATATATATATATATATATATATATATATATATATTGTCATCCACAGACAGACTGTTTCGCTGTATCCAGTTGCCTCTAGCTAGGATCGTCAGTCGGGGATTCTACCACTAAGCCGTTGGCGCACGGCAGGGATGAAGGTGAATTTTAAGTGTATTTATTTTTAGATAAACACACAGTGACTGAGAGAACTCAATTCGAATTACCGAAGAGTCTTGCATTATTAGCCGTAATAGTCACTGTTTACAAACTCACACTTCCTCCCCAGTGAGCTCAACCGAAATAAATTTTTCAGTAGCATATATATTGTCATATATATATATATATATATATATATATATATATATATATATATATATATAGAGAGAGAGAGGGGGGAAGCTCAAGCTGTGGCTCTAAAGGTTTGGCCTGCTGGCATTCTTCATAAGCTTTAGGGATACGGAATTTCAGGACGTTATTTGACTTAATACAATTATTCCTAGCAAACCGTGTAATGAAGGTCGTCCTAAACGGATTCTCCTCCAGTTCCTTTCTCACGCCTTGTTCCCAAGGCTCTATCCTGGGTTCTACACTGTTTCTGATTTTCATTAACGATCTTCCTGATGTCATCAGTTCCCAAGTAGGTATCTGTACAGACGACACCACTATTTACTCTTGCCTCAATAGCAAATCTGGTATGGCTGAAAAAACTAACTTGGCTGTTGGTCTCGAAAAGAACCTCCAATCTGTGGTTGACTGGGGCAAGAAATGACTGATAATCTTTAAGGCCTCAAAAACAAAACTACTCTCTCTTACCCACCACAGAGAACCCTCCCTGCCTCCCATTTCTGATGCTCAACTCCACGAGAGCGCCTTTCTGCGCCTTATTGGTCTCACACTGTTGACCTGAGATGGAACAAAAACATTGAATCAATAGCTACATCCACCGCAAGGAAAGTTGGTTCTCAGTGTCGCACCAGAAAGTTTTTTCTCGCCTGAGTCCATCCTTCAAATCTATAAACCAACCATTCGCCCTTGCATGGAATACTGCTGCCAGATATGGTATGGAGCCCTCGCTGTCCGTCTCAAGGTCGTCGACAAAATCCAGAAACGGACATGCAATATGCTTGGTCCTGATCTGACATCTCGTCTACAGTCACATTCTCACAGACGTGCCGTCGCTTCCCTCTGACTTTTCTACAAATACTTTAACTGCTCTGACGAGCTACTTTCGCTGGTTCCCTAACTGCATGAATTTATAAACG